AGATTCTCAGAGGTCAATTCCGACGCCGTTTTTAACGAAAACGTATCAGCTTGTTGATGATCCGGTTTACGACGAATTGATTTCGTGGAATGAAGATGGAACCACTTTCATAGTGTGGAGACCAGCTGAATTCGCTAGAGATCTTCTTCCTAAATACTTCAAACATAACAATTTCTCAAGTTTTGTTCGTCAGCTCAACACTTACGTAAGTCTTTTATTTATTTGTTCGTGCTCTCAATTTTTAGTTTGAATCAATCTCGGTATCGATTTAGTAGTGTATCTGATTTGGTTTGTGATATGGTTTTAGGGATTTAGAAAAGTTGTACCGGACCGTTGGGAGTTTTCTAATGATTGTTTCCGGAGAGGTGAGAAGATTCTGCTTCGGGACATTCAACGCCGGAAAATCTCTCAGCCCGCTATGGCCGCTGCAGCTGCAGCAGCTGCGGCGGCAGTAGCGGCTTCTGCGGTAACGGTTGCTGCAGTTCCTGTTGTAGCTCATGCAGTTTCTCCGTCGAATTCTGGAGAAGAACAGGTGATTTCGTCTAATTCGTCGCCTGCGGCTGCAGCCGCGGCTACAGGAGGAGGACCGGTCGGCGTTGCTTTGCAGAGGACGACGAGTTGCACCACTGCGCCAGAGCTGATCGAGGAGAATGAGCGGTTGAGGAAAGAGAATGTGCAGTTGAGTCAAGAGTTGACAAAGCTAAAAGGACTGTATACGAATATCTACACATTGATGGCAAATTTCACATCGGGTCAGGCGGATTGTTCGTTACCGGAAGGGAAACCGTTGGATCTTTTACCAGTGAGACAGGGGATGAGTGAGGAAGCCATGGCCATGGCTTCTAGAATCGAAGATGGGATTGGTTTGAAGCTTGATGAGGATTTGACTCCGAGGTTGTTTGGGGTTTCTATTGGGGTGAAGCGAGCTAGAAGAGAGGAAGAGTTGGGCGGTGCAGAAGAAGATGATGACGATAAACGAGAAGCGGTTATGGATACTCAAGAGGGAGAACAAGGCTCTGATATT